TTCCCAGCTCCATTTCTGCCAAAGTGAATACAATTTCAAGCTTTCTGCACCCCCATCCCAAGGACAAATCCCCTGCGACATTAGCTATTCAGATGACATAAGGCTGGGGTGGGCTTACTTTTACTCTGTCCCTTGGAAATGAAGAATAGCAACAGCTTAGCCAGCGGGTGCTTGATGCTAGTTAGTGGAATCATCTTTCATGAAATCCGTCACCTGCAGAGAAATAATAAAGGAAAATGGAAGAATTCGAGTTTTGGACTCTTGAAATCTATGATGCCACAACCCATCAATTAAGTTAAACAAAGAAAGAAAAACTCGTTTTCTGAAACAACTACAAAGTCTAACGTAAAGTCACCTACATAGGTACTCAAATACCGGAACACCACCCTTCCTCACTCTCTTTAACATTAAAATCTAACATTCTGCTTAGCAGAGTGTTCAGCAACCATATCCGAAAAATCTTCATCGTCATCTTGGCGCCCACGAATCTGCTTCCGCAACTGCTCCTCGTATTTTTTCTCCAGCTCTTTTTGATCGGCCAAGTCGAGATCCTCCGGATTCAGCGACACTTCCACGCCTGCATCGGCGCCTTGCGCACTTGGAGCAGGCACCGTTTTCTTCTAAACATCTTACAATTTCACGCAAAATCAATAAATTGCTGCAAATTTTCCACCATCTCAGTGTAGAATTAAGCATGCAAATGCCAAACAAAGAAGAGAAAGTAGATGTCCCATATGTTCTTACAAACCTCAACAAATAAATGAAAGAAAAGTTACCGGAAGATCGTAAACGTGCGTACTGGCCATCATCTGTCCCGCAATGCGATCAATTCGACGTTCTGGCAGAACCGAATACAGCGAAGGAGCTGGTGTATCACCTCCCGTCGTACTGCTGAAATATGAATCATAGATCGAGTCCGAAAAATTTCACATCCTCTCAATAAATCTAGCATGCGTTCAACCCCAAATATTTCAGATTTCAAAAGTCAGTCCAACCTTTCCTCGATGCGTTTTCCTTTCCGTAATTCGATAGTATCCGGAGTTTCAACACCAGTGAGCACGCCAGAAGTCATTCCCGATGGAGTTGCGAAACTGAAATATAAAAAAGTGAAATGGACTTTAATTAAAAAAAAAAATGAGGAAAAAAAGGTAAAACGATTCAGTTTCTGTTCCCAAAGATTCAATTCTCCAAATAAAACGTGTACACAACCTGCCATAATACGATTTCCCTGACTTATACAAAAAATGTTGCAAGTAAAATCACTGAGTTACACAGTTTTGCTTAATGCATCGATAAGGGAAATACTCAAAAGTGTTCCTTTACCCGCTACTCTAAGCAAATAATTCGAAAAAAGTCGCTGAAAAAACAACTGCGCTGTTTTTTGAATTCGCCCGGTGCGAAATGCGTTTGCAGTTCCTAGCAGCATGTTCGAAGAAGTAATCGCTTTTTATGCGTTTTTGCATATATGTAAATTGCAAAAACGCATATTG